TCTCTCTCTCTCTCTTTCTCTGAATGAAAAAAATTAGAATAGCTGCGATATACAGAGATATTTGTTATATTTCGTTGTAAATGTTGTATTTCGAAAGTGGTGATAGCCGCTATTACGATTACGCCCAAAGCAACGAATGATTCACGCTCGAAGAAGTTCAATCGTTGCGCCGAGCCGGAAATCGTACCAAAACCCAACTAGGCGCTTTGTCCACTTTACTTACAATGCATACAATGCACTTCTAATCCGCATTTGAGCGGGAGTCCATTTCTACGGATTGCGCAATTACGCAAATTGGATCTCTCCTCTCTTTATTGTAGACTCGATTCTCGTTTTCTACGCACTGCGTGACGTTTTGTACTTGAGCGAAGGAAGAGCAATCGAGCTTCGCACTTCAACGTCCGGAAATCATATCCTCTTCGTGCGACGAGATCGTATCGTATAATATCACGTTTACGATCAGTTCAGTTTACGACGAAAATAATGTGCTGGCTGCGTCAATTCTATACGAGCGCTGTGCCTCTTATAGTATTCTGCAATCGGTTTTCGGTATTTTTGAGAAATGGGACAACGAGACCTCTTTTAGCGCGGCGCACTTCGATTTATTTCACTCAATCGTCTCTACCGCCGATAACTTTCTCCACGTTTTCTCGGTGTCGCGTCAAAGTTATTACGTAAAATCATAGCAAATAAAAAATATTTCTCTAAAAAACTGATGAACGTAACAGAACTCTCCGGGTGTAGTTAAGTCGATAAAATTATTTCGGGCACAAAAGAGCAATTTAATAATTTCCAGGAAAAAAACTTCGCGCGAGAATCTTTGATATTTATCTCAATTTCGTGCGCAAATCGCATTACTTTCGTTCAGTACTCTCGATCAGAACAATCATCTGAATCTCGTTCGGGTCAACGAATACCAATTTCCAAGATTTTCCATGTGCTTTTCTCGTTGAACTTTACTCTAAAATTGATCTCCGTCGCAGAAAAGGGCAACGATCTTTTGATGTTAAACTCGAAGATAAAGCACCGAAATCATTTCTGATTACCGTCAAATTATCTCAAAGTAACATTCACAACAAACAAAACTTCGATCTACATCCTCGATACATTGTTAATGTTGAATTGATTTCGTTGACCATAACACGTTTGATGTTAAATATATTTGTCTAACTCTTACTTTACAATAACTTTGTTTTTCATATTAGACAGATCTAATTAAAATTTAACAGCTACATTCAGTAATACGAAAAATGCGATATTAAAAATAATAATAAATGACCATAATCCATAAATCTTAGGAATAAAATGCAGAATTTAGAAACTTTGAACATAAGCAAAAGAATACGGATTTTCATGTGCGTTATGTGTATCGCTTGTAGTAAGAAAGTTAGAAAATGGAAAAGTTTTCAAAGTGGAAAAAAGTTATCGAGGTATATGTAAGACGTGCTACAATGTTCACACGTGATTCTTTATACGTCTGGGCACGTCAAGTAAGTACAATAAAAGTTGCTCGAAGCGCGACTTCAATCGACTGTCTTCCCCGAAATTCTGATTAATAAAAGTTCGTATCGAAAGGTCGAAATCAGAATGTCATCAGATTCCTAAAAAAAAAAATCAACATCCCACGAACTATATAACTAGTCCCATAAAATTATATCAATCACTTTCCAACACAAATCAGCGTTCAATCGAAAACCAAAACTAAATTGTCAAGAAACGTTCACGTCGCGCGTGACACACACACGCTTGTCGTTAATATTTACTACTCCCTTTCCATATCGCGGCACGTTGCATCCACTCCGCGCGTCTCGCCTGTTTCACGTCACACCACTCGAATTAATGACGACGTGCGACCCGCGACCGGCTCGGACGACCGGGCGAAGCGCAAAAGCTCGCGCTTTCGGCAGGCGCGGGCGTGACACGCCAGGCGGCGGAATTCCGGCGAAAAGTACCTCCGGGGAGACTCCCGCGTGACTTCGTTCTGGTTCGCGTTGAAGCTCCCGAAAGCTCCGTCAGCGCGCCGCGGCAACGTTTACGCGCGACTATCAGCTTTCCGGCGTAGAAGCACGCGCGACGCGACGGCGTGCGTCGCCGGCGGGCGCGTGCGTCGCCTCTCCCGACGCGAAAACCGCGAAGAAGCCGGACACCCCCGCGGAGCGAAACGCGCGCGCGACCGTTCGCAAGGCCGTCGCGGTCACAACAAAACGTGAGGCTGCCCACCGGGTGCCCACGAGGAGTGGCAGGGTCGTGTCATCGACTCCTCGACCATTGCGACATCTTGATGCTATACGATCTAACCGCGAGCTCTAAGGACTCCTGGATGCCAGGTGAACCAGGTTATCAAGCAACTCTTCCACGATAGTCGGACGAATACTTACTTCGAATCGAAAAAGATCGTTGTATTTACGGTCTGATGAATATCAAAAAATAATGAAGACGTGACCTGTCAAGAAAGTATCCCGTGAAGAACTTTTTGTTTTATCAGTCAATATTATGTCGTGAGGTAACATTCAAACTGATACCGGCGCACCTGACAGCGGCAATCACTTCGGATAAGACATCGTAACATTATATTTTCCGATATAATGAATAGTTGTTATTTCTTCATAATTTTATGATATTTTGATGACCCTCAAATAATTCTAATTCAAAGTAAATGTCCATTTCATAAAAATTAATTTCTACTTGTGACAGAAACAAACAAAATGGAAACAAATCTTTAACAAATCTAAACAATTCGTTAAATTCAAATCATTTGACGCAAAAATATCTGATAATATACTTTAAAAAAACATATTAGTCAGAAAAACTAAAGTCGACATTATGTTCCATTCAGATCTACAATGTGATTACATTAGCAAATTAAATAAGATTGTTAATAAGCACCTCAATAATTTTATCATTATTATTATGAATATTCACAGAAAAATATTTCAATGTAACGTTTATGACAGTTAATTTGCAATTACTGTAATCATTCTATCTGCGAATGCATATAGGACGACGATATAAAACAGACCTTTCATTATACAAATTGAATCAACAAATCAAAATAAATTACAGCAAATTGAATCTTCGTTTAAATGAAAAGGGATCATCACGTTATCAGCGATATAATGCTTCTTACCAATCTGCTTCTCATTTAAAGAAATAAAAGTATATGTTTGATCGATGAGGTGTCTATTTACTCGTGTCATCCTAGAATAGCTGTGTCGTATTAGGGGAAAGTGCGACATTATCAAATATACGGGAGGGCACGATGAAACATTCCCCTATCTGACGTGATAAGCCGTTCTACAGCTATATAGTGCAAGGGATTAAATTGCTACTTTACTAACGTAAAATCTGATCCTGCGTGCTTACAATATTATGTCCTTGCGACAGGTTGTGGAGAACATAATCAAAATTGGATTTATCAATGTGCTCCTTGCCTCATCTTTACCGTTTTTTCTTATCATCGCTTTTTTAGATGATTGACGGATGGTCACTTTTATTGATTACAACAAAACTTCGTTATCGTTAGTTACTAATAATCGAGATATAGATCGAAAGTTTCTCCAGTCTCAAGATACATATACATATGCGTGTGCCAAATTCAAACGTTTTGAACTAATTTTCTAATTGAATAATCTGAGAGCTACACAAGATCCAACTGCGTTGGATATCAACGAACGAAAACTGCATGGTGTAAGAACAGCTCGTTTGGTACAATAGACATCGATTTGCGTGGATCGATGAAAAGCTATGTGGACCTTTACGGTCGGTAACTATCCCGACGACAAGAAATGGAACCATCGGTCAGGCCCCTAGGTGGTATCCATTTAACTTAACGTACGACGAAAAGTCGTTTTGTGCTACTTGCAAAAAACATACCCTGAGTTACCGACCAACAAGATAGCAGACGCGATGAACAACTGAAAATTTCGCGACGAGATAGATCCGCGCCTCTCTCCTTCTGACGTTGATAAAGCGAAAGGGCTCAGAATCTGATAACGCAGTATGACATTTATGAAATTACGATGGTAAGCGTTCACAGAAATATCTCACGATGATACGTTAGCATAGTTGATAGATTGAAGTAGCACAAATTGAAATGTACTAGAATATAGATCGTTTCATTATTTTACGAAAAAATCGTTTTAAAAAATTTAAGTTAAAAAAAAGCAGCGTTTTGCAGTGTGAATTTTAAATGCTAAAATAAAACGCACTATTGAAATGATAAGCAAGATATGATAAGAGTTAATCGCAAAGAGCGCTAATACGTATCACCTTACTCGAGTACGATGCGCAGTGTATTTAAATAATTTTCCTACTGTACGGAGCGTCGACTTTGTTAATTACAAAGTTATTTTAATCATAATTACTCGACCCGTATAGTCCGGATCTTCAATGGATCAGCGCGCATTCGCATCTATATGGGCTGTGTGACAAAGTCAAGATCACCTTCATAAGCATGCAAATTTATGTTAACGATGACATACACAGCCAAATTACCATGATAATAACATACAGATGAATCTATTTTCCAGTGGACCCGCGTGAATCTGTGATCGCGACGAGACCCGATAAATTTATTCAAGCGGCAATCTACATGAAAGAAAAACCGAAAAAAGAACGTCGTAAACAAACGTAATTGCCCTCTAATGATATCATTAGTTTTAACGATCCCGGATTCTATCACTAAATATTAAATATCGCTAAAATCTGTACAAAATAACTGTGGCAGTTCGCGTTTTGGACTTACGTCAGCAATTTACTTCGCATACAATGTAAACGCTCGCGAGTTTAGCGCAAGATAGTGAGATATAATAATAAATTATTATAAACCTCTCTCTTTCTCTCTTCTTATTTAAAGCAACATAAACGTCCTTTCGCAATGGGTCTCCATTATTATTTACCATGCGCGCGACTCGGTACGACGGTGCGGTTTATCGTGACCGAAATACGCTGTTACGGAAGCGGAAATTGCAGGAAACAGCGAGGGAGAGATTCTATTAGACTTACCTAAGTGCACGCCACTCCCCGTCTGTAGTTGTGGTCGGCGCGGATGTGCTCTTGCTCGGAAGACTCAGACGAGGACCGATGCGCAGTGTCATGGGTCGCCTCCTTCGCGTGTAATCTGAAATAATCGAACGGTACGGAGAAATTTTCGAAAGCGAGGTCATGCTGCGACATTGCACGCGTAATCCACCTCCTCCCCGGGGGAGAGGGGAGGGGGGAGGGGACAACATCGCGCCGCCTGGAAGGCAGGTGTTTGCGGAGAAAACATCGATTTAAAGGGATTACCACCGCATGGGATTGAATGGGTGATGATGATAAATTCCAATCCCGCCGCGTGTAGACAATACGTAACACGATTCGTTTTTTTTTCCCCCCGTAAAAACCGAACGTGATTGTCCGGCAGCCGATTGTGTTAACATCAGATTAGCCCATCCGTGCAATTGTATCTGGACAACTGATACGTTTCAAATTTTTATTAATATTAGGGTCAAAATTTTATTTCGTATTCCATTGCGCATTGTTTTCAGATAAAAATAGATTTTTATTTAAGAGTTTTACTGTTTAAATAAATAAAATTCCAAAGAAACATTTATACAAATTCGCGTAATCTCCGAAAGATTCGTTTTGTTTTATTTTTATAAATTTATAAAAAAAATTGACCATTGGAAATGTGCGAGTATTTATATGAATCTCTAACAATGAGTTCATATTTTATATATTGTGTCTTTTTATTCTCAATCAATCTCGATTATTGTAAAAAATGAAGGCTGATGGGAAAAAAACATAGTTTTTGTTCTGCTTTCTCGCGCAAGCTTTATGCAAAGTAATAATTGAAAAACCTTACCATTCGCGGAACAAAGTGAGTTCCGTCCGTGAAAAACATGCGGCGATAAGTATTGAGAATGTGGATTTGTGGGAGTTGGCGGGGAGGTTCGACTTGGAGCCGAAGTAGTAGTCCAAGGCGGTGCTCCATCTCGTATGGCACTCGATTCCGTTGAAACGACGGGAATCTCGTTGGTCACCCGCACCTCTATTCCCACAGACTGTTAACAAAAGCAACGAAATACTTATGTATTATTTAAAAAAGTATTATATAAAATATTTGCTACAACAAATTTCAGACGTAGTTATTATTTCACCAAGTTTTTTAATATTCAATGATATAAATATTAATTTACATTCAATAATAAATATTATTTAAAAATACACACAAATTAAAGCTCCATAAAAATAAAATCGGTCTAAATTTACGAGGAGAGACAATAAAGTGTTATTATTCCGTTGTAAATCCGATATAACTATACTTTTTTCATTTTTTATTACAATTTACAAAATTTAAAAAATATTTTGTCTCAATAATTTAATCAAACAATACTGGTTCTTCTGCACTCATGATTACGAGAACAATACAGAACGAACATTTTCAGTAATAAATTATTAAAGCCTGTCGCACTTACGATAAAATTATTATGTGTCAAAATGCGCTAAAACAAATATCTTATTGATCTCCATTTTATATTCCCCACAACCACGTTGCTGGGCCACAATTAGATTATAACTAACCGAAATTTGTTTGGAAATTTCATGGTTCATGCGTGAGTCGCATCAAACTATTAACTATTGTTACAATGTCTATTATTACGAACTGAATTACGTACAAACGGCGCCGCGAACAGACGGATACGTCTACGATACTGTAAAATGTAATTAACCGATACAAAGGCAAACGTTTGTAATAAAATCGAAACGCTTAATCAAATTACAAGTATTACTCCGTGCCGAGTAGTTAAGACTATACCTATCTTCGATCGGTGTGTAATGTCTGTTGACTGTGCTCTATAAATGTAATCTATAAATTGTCTTCTGGTAAGAAAATATACGCGCGGTTCTAAATTAACGGTATACTTTCTCGGAATTTCTCCCCATTTATCAAGTAGTGCTAATGCGAAGCAAAGTGGAAAATTTCAACAATAGCAACTGGAAATGTTTGTATCGTCGAATTAGGAAGCTACAGCAGACCGTATTAATACGATTAATTAAATACTCAACAAAATTATTTGCAGGATCTATTAGAATTGAAATCCTCTCACAATTAAAATGCACTCTTATCGTAAATCTAAAAGTGCCAATAATTAATCATAAAATCTCTCATTTCCAGAATGATTCACAATTATTTTGTTTTCAAAAACCAGATGTATTTAGACGTAATAAAAGGTCAAGAGTTTAGCAAAATTCAACAAAGAGAAATCACATCCGTAATTCGAATAAATTTCGATGTCAAATTACATAACACTGTAAAATGATACTTTATATTTTGTAAAGTACCATTTTACCTAAGTACCTATAAATATAGATCCGTATATCTGTTATTTGTATCTACATACTTCACATCGTCGTAAATATCGGCGAGAAATTTAATTCAATCTGTAAGTAATGTTCTATATGCGTATAGAACCGTCATATGAGATTGCAACGCAAATGCATGTTAAACAAACCACTGCGCGTAGGAATAATTGGGGAGGATGATTATTGCATACCAGACTGGTCGACCAATACCGAGTAAATCGTCTAATTGATGAACAGTTCCGCGGAAACGTGACTTCGTTATCGCAGCAGCTTTTCGGCTAACAACGACAGTGTACCACGTTCGCATTAGGGACGAAATCAATAAGCAACATTGTAAAGATATAAAATGTTCTCGTTAACGATATTTTTACATTTCTCTCCGCTTCTCCCCAAAGTGACGCAGAATTCAATGTAAGCTCAACATTCGTTCGACGTTCGAAATAACATTAAAATCCGTAAAGCTCTTATTGAATATACAATGAAATTCCGCTGCAACGAATACCAATGTAACATTTTCGTTATAATGAAATTTCATTCAATATCTAGCCGATGGCTATATACTTTACTTTTTTTAATATAAGGCAGACTCTGCATTTATATTAAGTGAGAGATCTAAAGTTCACAAGCTGTTTCTAGAAAACAAAACTATATACGCACTACCAGCAGATTGTAATATTGCGTAATGTTTTTAACGACATATATGAGAATTTCAGAACAGATGACCGTCGATCGCGGTAATTAATGTGACTAAAACTATATGCGATTGAATGTCACAAGGTAAAGGGAAATTATGCCCATGGCAGTGCACTAATTGAAACAGTATACGACGTACTCGAGATAAAATTCCATCTCTGTTGAGATTTATTGCAACAATGTAATTTTCGTTAGTTACCGCAGTTTCTTGCATATGTTGGCATTAATATCGCCGTCGGCTTGCACGAGCTTTGAACTTTTCGCTCAATGGAAACAGATACAAGGACACGATTATCGATTGGAGCATCAATAAATCCGCCAATGATGACCAGGGAACATAATCTTCGACAAACGCAGTTCTTTCAAATGACAACTATCGTCACATGCAAATCAGCGGATAATCACACTACATTCGGCAATGTGTCAGAAAATAATTTTTCAGAAAATATAAAACTTCAAGTTTTACGCGGAATTCGTTTTTAAAAATTTTACGTTAAAAATTAATTAAAATCTATTATTTTAAAACATTTTCGATAATTTTTAAAATATTGACATTATTGCATTGACAAAAACCAATGCTAACACCTAAACATTTTAAAGTAAAATTAATTCATTAATAATCTACTGTTTTCCTAGAAAAAATATTTGTCATCCTGATAAAATACTTCAAATTGATTCATCAAATTAATATATCCTCTGATAAAATCTTCACGACGTCATTTTCAATGCTTTATAATATATTAAAATTATAAAATGTTATAAAAGCAAAGATTAAAATTGCCAATCCTGTTAAACGGATCAATGTATCATCAGGACATTAATTGTGAGCTAACTTTTAACGGTATATTGTTTGAAATGTACCTTTGTTTGTATTGTGTGGAAAAAATATATATTTCTCCTTTTCGTGTTTAATTCACATACTTTTCCTTCCGAATCAAATAAACGCGCCAAGAGCAGACGTTACTCGTTTATTTACCGCAGCAAATATTTATCCACGATGCAAAGCTGCTCTATTGCCCTGTGGACCACAAGTCGTAATTGCATATCGATCGGAAGGTTTCCCACTTAACTGTATTTTCTTTCGAGACGAATCCCAATAACGGATAACTGCCTTCCTTCTCGTAGCGTTTAGTTTTCAGTTCACCATTCGAACCGATTATCTTTAATCGCGCACGGATATCGTGATAATCGCTCGACATAAAATTTTTAAAAACAAAATAAAAGATATAAATCAAATTATTATCTTATTATAATTACGAAATACACGTGACAACTAATTGTAAACTAAATAATAATACTTACGACTGTATGTAATACGCGATAATATATTTAAAATTATTAGTCAGTTATTTTAAATTAATAAATTATATTAAATTATACACACACACACACACACTCTCTCTCTCTCTCTCTCTCTCTCTCTCTCTCTCTCTCTCTCTCTCTCGATCTATCTATCTCTCTCTCTGTATGCATAAATTTGAATTATTTGAATATATGATTTTAAAAATCAAATTGTATCGACGTTCGAACACTTAAAAACGTTTCCTTCTACAATATAACACCGAATTTCACTTAAGCAATATTTTGTTAACGTCGATCGTGACGAAAATGAGATTCGTATATTCCTTATTATATGAAAATAAAACCGAATGCTTAATGGCAAAAAGGCACATTTTCTCCCCTTTTGACTGCTCCTTAAAGGGATTCCAGCGAAATGAGCCACGATGGAAAAAAAACTAATGAAGGGAAAACGTCAAGTCGTAGTAGCTTTCCGACTGAAGCTACTGAGTGTCGCATAATTTATATATTCAAGCCATGAAACTATTTGTCGTATATTTCAAAACTGTAACTTATCCACGCCACATTTGTTAAATATACAAGGAAAAGCTATCTTTAAATTCTCCCTCGCATCAAGAATCAACGTCACTGTAGCCTTATGTCAGAAAAGTTCGTGGGCGCTTATCAACTAATGGATGTCTCTTCGAAAATGTTACAAACTTCCAAGACGGATAGCATACATGTTTCATAGAGAGATAATGTATCGCAGCAAAAAAGCGCTTTGCTGCAATACCCTGCTAGCTGAAATGTGACGAATAGACGGTACAGCGAAAGGATATATGTATTATGTATATATTGCAGATATGAAAAATATTTATGAATTTTTACAAGTGTACTTTGTAAAACGTAAACGGGAATTTTAACGTTGTTTTAACGAGAGAAGTTGGACAAAGTGATATTATGCGAGATTACATCCGCTCGAACGAGAATCACAGCACATGCACAAAAACAGAGGATTATCCTCTGCGCATATAATAAAAACAATACAATTCTGCATAAGCGTCACTCGCTCAACGACACGGGTCTGCAACGCGACAGGATCTACAGGTGTTCGTGAAGCATACAAGGAAACGTCATCGGGCTTATTCAGCGAACATGTGCGCGGTCTTGTCTAAAAATCGATAAACTAGTAACGTAACCTATGCATACGTAATCACTGGTTATTTCCCGAATGGGTAATAAAAGGTCCGATCCCTCGTTTTAAAATTTTCTTTCTTTTCTACCGTGGGAATCTCCTAATGCTCTTTACCTCTTATCTAAAGATATGCGTTTCTCAAGTTGCGAATAGATTTGTAAAGAACATATTGTCGCATAAAAAAAAAGAATGGACTGGGAAAAGAAGCACCCGCTATTCTTAAATGCAGAACATTTTTCAGAATGTGTTAAAAAGGAGCGGAGAATCTGTAAAGATTCAGATCTCCGATTATTACGCTAAATATGGACGTTTGATTTCTCTGTCTGAGACCTGTAATATAAGCAATTTTTACATAAAACGATTAAAAATAACAGAAACACATTGATGTGAGATGTAATACGCATACGTACAGAAACGCAAATGCCTTTTCACGTGAAATTGCATGTATATCAAAGTATATTCAGTCTGCGTGTTTCGTTTCTACATATTCATGCATCATGATTAATCGGCAAAATTGTTTTATCACAAATA